CTGCAAGACAGTCTCACCCGGAAAGCTTACCATGGTATATTCCTCAAGCTCACTGTTAGGGCTTACATATACTTTAAGCCAGGGATAGGCCTCCCTGGCACTCCAGTTGTGGCCCTACAAGTTCCATAAGACATTGCAATGCTCTGAGAGCCGCAGGCATGACTCCCAGAGGCACAGGCATGATGAGAGTTGTACTTCTAGCACAGCTGTAGTTCTAAGATTGCCTCCTGCTACTTTAATCACTTGGAGTTCCCTTTATATATCATTATTATTAGAGATGCACCGATACTAGTATCAGTGCCAATGCTTCGATGCCTAGCCCCTACTTGGGCTTCCGGTATCAGGAAGCCGGGCAGCGAGTCAAAACACACTGTGCGGCTTCCTGATTGGCCAGAAAGCCGGCTCCATGCTTTGTTGTCATCTAGTGACGAGAAGCATGGAGACGGCTTCCCTGCTAATCGGGAAGCCGCCTGGCTTCCTTAATGGGACTTCCGGTATCGTTATTGGTGAGTACCGGAAAAAAAATATCGGTACTCGTACTCTATACAGAAAAACCGGTATTGGTGCATCCCTAGTTATTATTATTATACAGGATTTATATAGCGCCAACAGTTTACACAGCGCTTTACAATACAAGGAAGACATTACAGTTACAATACAATTTAAGACAAAGAGGGTAAGAATATGTCATTTTCTATGTTCCTTTACACCCGGGGTGGGCGACTCCGGCCATCCAGCTGTGCTTTAACTACGAGTCCCAACATGCCACTGCGGGTCATGACTGTCAGTCTGGTAATGCCTATGGGACTTGTAGTTCCACAACAGCTAGCAGGTCAGAGTTGCCCCCCCCCCTCCCTCATTACACAATACAAACATAGGTTTGCCCAAGTATTTTAATAAAGATACATTAAAGAATAGCCTCACTTATTGCTTAGGCGAGTGGGCAGGAAACCATTTTCTATATATCAGGGGTAGGCAACCTTGGCACTCCAGCTGTGGTGGAACTACAGATCCCATGAGGCATTGCAAGACTCCTAACAGTCACAGGCATGATTGGCAAAGGCATAATGAGATTTGAAGTATCACCAAAGCTGGAGTGCCGAGGTTGCCTACCCCTGCTGTATACCATAACCAGACCATGACATTTGCAGCAGCCTATATAGCCAGCCATGTACAGTAAGTATCCATGACTTTCCTGCCACGTTCCAGACAGAGGCCGCAGATTCATTCCCGGCGTTAAGAAACGATTCATCGTTAAATTTGGTAATTCACTAACACCCACCACCTGCCGCCAGTTCCATGTAACCTGCCTGACTCATCCCAGAAATAATGGATCTGTTCAATCTGCTTCAAGAGCCGGCAGCGGAGTGTGTGGGGGGTTCCGCTCATGAATGTGATAAAGTGCCATCCATGGTGATAAATGTGACATTAACGACTTAACACCTTACAAGCCTCATGTCAAAGCCAACAATGCTGATGCCAGGAACAGGAATTGACTAATAGGGAGTCTGTATAATTATTTCACATGTCAATGTGGGGACCCGATTCTTCTCTGCCTGGGAAAGTGGGAAATAAAAAAATCACGATTGTTATACTGAATATAATTCCTCCCAGCAGGGCTCAGCTACATAGAGTACAGCAGGGGTAGGCAACCTCAGCAGTGGTGGAACTACAAATCCCATGAGGCATTGTAGGATTGCAGGACATGCATTATTGGATTAGTAGTTTCAGCACAGCCGGAGTGCCAAATTTGCCTACCCTTGGTATAAAGCAGGGGTAGGCAACCTCGGCACTCCAGCTGTGCTGAAACTACATATCCCACCATGCCTTTACCTCTGGGAGTCATGCCTGTGGCTGTCGGTCTTGCAATGGTTCCACAACAGGTGGAGGGTCGGAGTTAGCCACCCCTGTGGTAGAGGATATGTTGTGTTCCAGGTATAAATGCTTATATATCTCTTGCCAAAAAGTATTTCTACACTGAACCCCTCAATGCCTCATCGGACTTGTAGTTCCACACCAAGTTTGTCTACCCCTGGTATATAGTATCCACATGATCCAAAGAAAAAAAAAAATTTAAATCGTGGATTGCTAAATATGAAAGAATAAGACCCTACAGGAGGAGATATGCAGATATACACAATGCTGATCTGGCAGTTGATCAGGGGGGTGATGCTGATAGTGCTTGGGGGGTGGGGGGGATGCTGTCAGAGGCTCTTTGTCCGGTCCCATCCAGCTCACTGATGTCACTGGTTGCCAGGAGCTCGGTGGGACACCAGAGTGTCACGCTCAGCTCCCTGGCAACCAATGATGTCGTGAAGCCAGATAGAGCATCACAGGTTGCTAAAGAGCTCTTAACAACCTGGGACGCTGTGGGCACCCCTGTGCCCCACCCCCCCCGGGACAGCCCTGATTCTTTTGGACATTCTAGCTCACAAAAAGAACAATAATTCGATCCAACGGGACAGGTAAGTAACAGTACTCTTCTATTATAGGTTGCAAAGAGATCCACCGGGACTGGTAAGTAGTGCTCTTGTTTTATAGGTTGCGAAGAGATCCACCAGGACTGGCAAGTAGTAGTACTCTTCTTTTATAGGTTGCGAAGAGATGCGCCAGGACTGGTAAGTAGTAGTACTCTTCTTTTATAGGTTGCAAAGAGATCCACCAGGACTGGCAAGTAGTAATACTCTTCTTTTATAGGTTGCGAATAGATCCCCCGGGACCAGTAAGTAGTAGTACTCTTCTTTTATAGGTTGCGAAGAGATCCGCCGGGACTGGTAAGTAATAGTACTCTTCTTTTATAGGTTGCGAAGAGATCCACCGGGATCAGTAAGTAGTAGTACTCTTCTTTTATAGGTTGCAAAGAGATCCACCAGGACTGGCAAGTAGTAATACTCTTCTTTTATAGGTTGCGAATAGATCCCCCGGGACCAGTAAGTAGTAGTACTCTTCTTTTATAGGTTGCGAAGAGATCCGCCGGGACTGGTAAGTAATAGTACTCTTCTTTTATAGGTTGCAAAGAGATCCACCGGGATCAGTAAGTAGTAGTACTCTTCTTTTATAGGTTGTGAAGAGATCCCCCGGGACCAGTAAGTAGTAGTACTCTTCTTTTATAGTTTGCGAAGAGATCCGCCGGGACTGGTAAGTAGTAGTACTCTTCTTTTATAGGTTGCAAAGAGATACAGCGGGACTGGCAAGTAGTAGTACTCTTCTTTTATAGGTTGCTAAGAGATCCCCCGGACTGGTAAGTAGTACTCTTCTTTTATAGGTTGTGAAGAGATCCCCCGGGACCAGTAAGTAGTAGTACTCTTCTTTTATAGGTTGTGAAGAGATCCCCCGGGACCAGTAAGTAGTAGTACTCTTCTTTTATAGGTTGTGAAGAGATCCCCCGGGACCAGTAAGTAGTAGTACTCTTCTTTTATAGGTTGTGAAGAGATCCCCCGGGACCAGTAAGTAGTAGTACTCTTCTTTTATAGGTTGTGAAGAGATCCCCCGGGACCAGTAAGTAGTAGTACTCTTCTTTTATAGGTTGCGAAGAGATCCACCAGGACCGGTAAGTAGTACTCTTCTTTTATAGGTAGCTAAGAGATCCCCAGGACTGGCAAGTAGTAGTACTCTTCTTTTATAGGTTGCTAAGAGATCCCCCGGGACCGGTAAGTAGTGCTCTTCTTTTATAGGTTGCTTTATTTATTGATTAATTGTGACAAAGTAGCTTAAAAAAACCCCCCAATGCAATCACAAATTATTAACAAGCAAGTTTTTATTTATAGCCGGCTGTAAGCGCTCTCCACACCGACCCCTCCTGTTACCACATTCACATCCTTGTGTTTCCTTTCTGCTACGTTCATGCCAGATTGACTTGTCTCTACAGACCTCTATAATATTGATCCGTTAACCTACTTACTGCTGCAGATGTCAGAGCAAGCGTACCAATAAATTGAGTGTCTGCCTGCCAAATACAAGAGGTGATCTCCCAGGAGAGAGAGAGAGAGAGAGAGCGAACGTGCTCACAGCTTCCCAGATACCCCGGATTGGAGTAATGACGGTAACTGGCATCAGATCCAGATCTCCGCAGTTCCCAACATCATAAAATCACGTAGTTCTATTATCCAACAAGTGAAATCAATCAGTAAACTGCACATACAATGCAAGCAGCTGTGCTTAGAGCAGAACTAAAATCCCACTTAAAAAAAAAAATTGCACACAGTTGAGAGTTTTTTTTGGCAGAAGAGACATTTAAAGGCTCTTTTGTCAAAAATTCCACATCAGTTTTTTAATTCCTATACACACTGCATGGTGCATGGTCCTGGGAGGGACAGGTGCTGCATGTAGGAGCCTGTTCTTCCCTATGGGCGGACGCAACCGTACGCACACCAGAACTGCACAACCGTGCAGGTCCGGGTGTCTACTCAGACAGGATTGATCAAGTCCGTGTCCATGCACGGACACCCGGACCCACACGCATGTGCAGTTTGGGTGTGGGTATGACAGCGTACGGCCACGTCCTTCCATAGGAAAGAACAGGCTGCTGCGTGCAATAACGTGCAGCACCTGTCCCTCCCGGGAACGGGCCGATATGGGCATGCACGCCGCACAGACGTGTACCGCCCCAGTTTACGTTGTGTGAATGAGGCCTAAGACCTTCACAAGAAGGTTGACAAAGGCAGCTCCAGTATTTTTCCCACCATAGGTCTGCTGTAACGTACTGTGGGAGGAGAGGTGGCACTTCTTTACAGATATAAAACATGTTATAAGCCATAATTTCTCTATAGAAATCTATGTAACCGAGACAGAGCCATTTCATTTATTAAAATACACAAAGTATCATTAATTATACAGAGACACCTAAAAAAAAGCGCAATATAAAAATAAACCTTCATAGTCAATGAGACATAATCGGTGATAACAGGACTTGATCATAATAAAAGTAGATGCCTCTTGTATGTGCATGGCTTCATATCCTGCCGATAGAAGAAGACGTGCACCCAGGCCAGTTCTTTATTCTCCTCTGCTGTGGTCTCTTCCATGCGGCTGGTGTTGGTCAGCTGTCATCGAGGACCAGTACCGGGAAGGTTTCTCCCCCCTCACATAGCTGGGTATAGATTGCTCTAAGCAACATATAGGAGGGTGAGGCGCTCCGACACTGCGAATCGGCCTCAGCCAGCAGCTCTTCGCTCAGCACCTGTGACAGATCACAGCATTACACTAATGGCTTTTTTCCGGGCTAAGGTGGCAAGCAGCAATTAAATATCATTAACATGAAGAAAGTGAATCCGTCTGTGCTGGAGGCTTGGCAACAATCACACAAATGATAGCAAAGTAGCAAGTTATATATATGATCCTAGATAGCAAATTAGGAGAGCGGAGGAAAGAGGCAAAGGAAAAAGAAATAGAATAGCAACAGATCGCGCAGATCATATATCCATAGATGGAAGGAGAACGTTTGGAGTTCTATGTTACTAAAATCTCATACAACCTTTATATATGGTCAATATTCTTAAAATCTGCAGCTTTCATTCAAATAATACCTAGCGATCCTGCCATGAAGATCCCTGTTTAGACAATTCCTTGTATAGGGTGACAACACGCTTTCTCCCAACTGTGCTCATGCGTTGTCACCCCGTCACAAAGGCTTCTAATGGAGATGACAAGCAGCCGCAACAACAATAATTTGGATAGCATGTTGTGCTGTTGTCCCTAACAGGAAACCCACCCTTGCCATTGCTGGAGTGCATGTAACAGGAAGGGGCTGGAAAGAGATCAGCAGCACTTCAATGTAACAAAGGATGAAAAAAAGGTTCAACAAGTTTTTATTAAAAAATTAAAATATTCTTATGATAGACAGTGCATTAGAAATCCGAATGATGGCAAGTCATTAAAAGAGGGTGAAGTTCTGCTTAAAGGTCCATTTAAAACTACATAGCGATCTAAGACTACCCTGTCCACAAGGCGACAACGTTGATGTGAAATTTCACTAGACTACACTGTTGTCAGTCACCCTGTTGCAGAAAGTGGAAAGAAAAAAATAATCTGTTGGAAGATCAACAGGTAACAGAACTGTGTTAAAAAAGATTTAGAAAACGAGACCTGCATTGTATACAGTACTGTACGTTATTTCTCATTTTGCCAATAGAGACCACAATTAAAACTGCCCATGTAGCTCAGCGCCAATGCTTGGCACATGAAATGCTCACTATGTCAAATGGGCCAGACAACCTAAAAAAAATGATTGTGTGTGTATATATCACAGCACAGTAGCTGATAACACATTAGCTCAATCCAGTCCATAAGCCGAGTGCCTGGGAAGTACTTGGTGGGTATAAGGAACAAGAGCTCGTTCACAGTGGCTCATCCGTAGTACAACAAAGGAAAGTACACGGGGACCCGGAGATGAGTTGTCCCTACAAGCTGGCCGTAGAAAAGTCCTTTTCCAATTTCGGACTTTGATCATCATGCACAGGAAAGGGAACAGACTTCTCTGGCTAACATTATCATTCACTCGGTCATTAGGTCCTGGTGACACATCCTTGTTTAGGACAGATACCGGAACACTGGGATATCTGTATGAATTTGTATTCCCTTTTCCATTACTGTATGTCTTGTGGTTTGAAGACCTGACTCTGAGATTATTTATGTATGTATTAGGGATGTCCCGATACCACTTTTTTAAGACCAAGTACAAGTACTTGCCCTCGTGTACTTGCCGATACCAATTACCGATACTTTTTCTTAAAGGGACATGTGGCTTTTTTCTAAAACAACACAAACTGATGATTTTAGGGCAGTTTCTCACCAGGGCTAAATACAGATCTCTGCAGACCACAATACATGTCCACAGAGCAGCTCAATGCATGATCCCCCTACAGCAGCACAATGCATCCAAACAGAGCAGAAGGCTGCGATCTCACCTGGGCAGCATGTGGATCTTTGCAGGGCTGTGAGTTGATCGGATGGGTGCCGGTGTCTGGGGTTGTACTGTGCTGTGTGTAGGGCTGTCCATGGCTGTGCCGGGAAGGAGGAGCAGGAGGTATAGACCCGGACAGTCACCGACAGGGACAGCTACTGCTAGGTCCCCAGCAGGCTGCCGAGGACCCAACGAAATTTAAAGGGCCGGCACCGGTCTTAAGAATCGGGGCATTTTCACGAGTACAAGTACTCGTACGAGCCCCGATACTGATACTAGTATCAGTACATCCCTAGTATGTATATCTTCAATGTATGTATTGGTACAAAAACAGATCACTGTAGGAAAATCAGTTTTGTCCTTGTTGAAGCTGAACTCCGGGATGAGCAAATATTGTCCTCATACAAGAGTCATGTGTGTTCTTCCTGGAATCTTGGTGTGCTTTGTGTATTTCCTCCAAATCTGTGCAGTAATCCAGTGCGAGACTTAGAGCTTCCTGTAATAAAGACCGGTCACTGCTGCTCCCTCTCCTTGTGCAGGTCTCGTCTCCGCAACTTCCTATAGTTTTCTGCAGACAGCCTGTAGCGGGTGGGTCTTCTGGGCCCCTCCTACAGCTCTGTCCTTAGCACATGGATATGTACAGCACAATGCTGGTGCTCCTTTTACAAGGTAATAACCTTGCAAACGTATAACTTAACGTATTATTGCAATTTATAACTGTAAACCTATTTGGTGCACACAAAGTAGAAGTCTATCCTTTGCGGCTATTTAGGAGTATACTGTATATTGCTAGCTCTTTTGCCCGGAGTTCAGCTTTAATGGTGGATCTGTGCAGAGTCATTGTTTGCTTGTCTGGCTCCCCCATGGAGACCTGTGGTCACACAAGGAGCTCTGCTCTGTAATCCTGCAGTAATCCTGGTGCAGTCGGTGCGTAGCTGTGTACGGAATGCTCATCAATTCTGCACATTTGGTACAAGGCTGCTCAGGGAATCTTTGGCCTTTAGACGATTCCATATAGAGAGGAGATAAGAGAAGCCTGGCTGAGAATGATCAGTAAAGGATACCGATCTGTTGTCACAGAGCAGGGAAAGTGTAATTAAGATGAAGGACTGCTTGCTGGAGACGAAGAGACTTAACCAGGTCTCTTGAAGGACAACAACAGCGTCCTTGTTAAAATAGGCACGTCCCTTATCTTGGGTCCAAGACGGCGTTTTTACTCTCAGGTGAACGTCGGAGAATATTTATTTAGTTTTCAATTATTTAGTGTATCAAAGAATTGCCTTCCTTTTATTAATAAAATACTTTTTTTTACACCATTTTGTCATCCTTTGTTGTATCTCAGTGCTGGCAATATCCTGCCAGCAGCCTCTTCCTGGCTACATGCACTTCAGCATTGGCTGCATGTCCTTTCCAAGGCCTCATTCACACTGCCGCACGTATGCGCGCATATTGTACCATATGCAACCTATGCAAATAAATGGCTCCATACACACAGCCGCGTATAGAGCCGTATATTTGCGTAGCGTATATATGCGCAAAAACAGAATGGAACAGAGATGCGTCCGGGCAGCGTATTTACGTGCATATACGCGCGTACATGCGTACAGCACACTAAAAATTATTACATTCGAGTGATGCATTCTGGGATTGCATATAGTGCACGCATATACGTGCATAGACGCGTATATACGCAATATACAATTTTGCTTGCGTTGTGTGTGAATGAGGCCTTAGGGTGGGTCTCCTGGGGGTGATGACAGAGGACCAGACCTTTGTAATGCGTGTGGAAAGTCCACTTATAGTCTCCATCGTGGCAACACATTAGCACAACTTAGGAGACGGGGCAAAGCGCTGTTACCCTATAACGGGATGCGCCTGAACAAGTTTCTTCATGGCAGGATCACCAGGTATTGATTTCATTAAAGTTCCAGATTTAACGAAAAATAGAACAGTCATTATAATTTATGTTAATACAGTAATACCTAGGTTTACGAGCATAAATCGTTCCGGCAGCATGCTTGTAATCCAAAGCGCTTGTATAGCAAAGCGAACTTCCCCATAGGAAATAATGGAAATTCCGAGTCGTTCCACAACCCAAAAATATTCATATAAAATGATTACAATACTGTACTGTAATATAATACTGTACGAAATATAAAGAAAAATAATTTACAGGTACCTTTGTGGCCGGTGTGAGAGGGACAAGAGAGAGGAGGATTATTGTGTAGGACAACTTTCACTATCACTAACGGAATCACTGCTATCTCTTGACTCAATGGAATCTTTTTCATTTCGTGAAACCTTAACAAGGAATCTATCCAATGTGACATTGCATTGTCGTTAAACAGACTCATCGCTCGCACTGCTACAGCCTTATTCGGGTGGCGCTTTTCTACAAAATTTTGCTCTGATTGCAAGAAATGTTTACTTGTCTTGCAAAACGCTCTCAAACCAAGTTGATACCTTGTAAACCAAGGTATTACTGTATTTAAAAAAAAGCTTATATGAGATTGAGTTTACATCTCGTTTAAAGCCCAGCTCCAAAAAGGTTAGAACCTGTCAATTTTTTTGTTGCTGGGTGTGCAAGAAGAAAAGTACCAAAAGCAGAACATATGAAATCCAGATTCAATTTAATTCAAACTCTGATATCATAAAAAGCCAACTTATGAGTCAGACATATTTATGACCTCATGGATGTGGATGTGGGTGGCAGCCGACCTCTTACATCTATCGCCCTTTTCTCAGGGTAGATACAAGTGCTCGTTGTTAATACACCTAATGAATGAGTATCTGCATACCCTTGCTCTGGAGGAAGAAGACCCCACCACCACCACCACCCTGGATCCAGCTCTGGTTTTCTAAAACTGAAGAGATCCGAACCATGGAAGATCTCTCAGCTTCTCTATCACAGGGAGATAAAGTTCAGGCACTCATGGTTCTATTGGACATATTTCAGAACCTTGTCCTTAGACTCAGGAACCGGGGTGGTAACAAGTAGAGACACCTGAGCAAGTTCCACTTCATTTTCATCATCCTTCTTCTTTCCTTCCCTTCCCTCACCCCCTTGGTGCTCTATCCTGGCTCTGTAATCTTTTTTTCATGTTTCTTTTTATTTATTACTTATGACAATATAACAATGGATGGAGTTTTCCCACCCTTGCTTACTTGGGCTATCCTCCTTGATAAGAAGGTGGTCCTCATCAGATCTGTTTGACCATTGGAAACAAATCAATGGATTTATTTTGCTACTTGTTTTGCAAGAGTTGACTTGATGTTATTGGATGTTTCCTTACTTTACCTTACCGTGACTGTACAACTATATCTGATCTAAGTAAAGCCAACTTTTTTGGGGAGTTTAAAAGGCCCCTCTTCAACAGGGCTCGATACTAAAATGTGACATGGAAAGACTGTGGAAATGGACAAAAGAAGGTAGGACAGACAAAGAGGATGTAAAATAAATAAAAACTATTAACAAGCACTGATAAGTGCAATAAAATAAAGCGTAGATCAAGACTAGCCAAACTTTGGCACTCCAGCTGTCGTGGAACTACAAGCCTCAAAAGATATTGCAAGACTCTTAACAGCCACAGGCATGACTTCCAGAGACAGATGCATGGAGGGATTTGTAGTTTCACCACAGCTGGAGGACCGAAGCTTGGCTACCCCTGATCTAGAAGTGCCTGTTTGTACATTGCCATCACTAAAAGGTGCCTGGAGGGCTCAGGTTTGGCTACCCCTGTCATAGACTGTTCTCCCACCATTAACTGTCTTGCGTTACCTTTTGCAAATATATCTTCTGCTGTAGCTCCCGCAATCGGAGATGCGTCGCAGTCAGTTCACGAAGTTCGTCTGGATGGCTGTATACGAGCACAGATGGCATTGTGCAGAATTCAAAGGGACAGCCCGCCACCTCTGAGCAGTCAATGTCAACGGAAAGCTTCTCACACCATTTCTTGTATTGGTCAGCAACTAAATAGGTGACAATTAGGCAATATATACAATGCGAGGACAGAACTAGACAAAACTCAGCTATGTAAAACTCCCCCCATCATAGAGCTGGTTTGTTCAACAGATGATGACCACGCACACACTAAGCCTCCTTAGTAATTATTAAAAGAAATAAACAGCTCTCGTTGCAAAACTCAATCCCCAGTCTCCAGGTTAAATGGCCCCCTACTTCATCCAACCCACTTCTTGTGAACCCAGAGCGTTAAGGACACCACCCCTGGGGGGACATCATCAAGCCACCTTGGGCTCATTGGAGATTGCTGCAGAGAATGGTGCCACATCATTATGTGATACTGTTCTCTGCAGCATTGAACATTTCACCCTCCTTCCCAATGATAGCAGAGGACCCACAAGATCAGGCGGAAGATCATTGCAACAATGAAAGCATATTAATTTTTTTTTTAATTGTTGTAGAGGATTTGGTGGTTGTAACATGGCCTTTAAAGGAGAACCTGGCCTTTAAAGGAGAACTATGGGGTTAGGGCTTTTCCCAATAGTTCTCCTAAGGGTAATGGGAGGACACAAACTAGCATCCTCCCGTCACCCAAAGCTCAGTATACCGCGAGCTACAGCTCACGGTATACTGAGACGCCGCAGCCAGAACAGGTCACGACAATTATTTCTGGATCCACCCAGCTGCCTGAGTGACAGCTGGCTCTGCCTATCTAGAGGCAGAGCCAACTGTACCCACCCCCTCCCCCGTCCGTTCCGCCAGTCAGCGCTGGAGGATCGGACAGGGGAGGGGGGAATCCAGTCCCTCCCCTGTCACGGCTCTCTGCCGGCACAGGATCGAGAGGTGATCATGCACTGGTATGTGTTCGCTCACTTCCTGATCTACTGAGCTGACCTGTGACAGTCTCATTGTCACAGGTCGGCTCAGATTATGAGGCTGGGTGAAAATCACTCACCTCATAATTCTCCTTCAAAGAGAACTTGTGAACACAGCATTATGGGAGCTGCCATTGTTGACTATTTCATAAAGGTTCAATCTGCAGGGCTGTCAATCTGATCTTGGCTTCATGTTGAGTCAGTGACTTGAAACAGGAATGCATTACAGGAGTTTTTAGATTTCACCATCTTCATGCTTGTTGCTGGAACACACCTGGAACACAACATATCCTCTAACACAGGGCTCAAAATTTCCACTCGCCTGCTCACATTTGGCGAGTGGAAATGCAGTGCAGGCGAGTGGAAATTCAGTCAGGCTTGAGTCAGTACCTGACTAGTGGGAGCAGCTGCTCCTGCTGGTCTGTCTACCTTCCTTTTCGGCAGGAGCTCTTCACTGAGCTCCGGGTCGAAAACGGAATGATTAGTAATGTCTGCAGACCTTACTAATCGCACCAGATCACCAGTGATCTGCCTGCTCGTCTCCTCCCTGCAGAAAGACAAGCAGGTGAGGGGGCTTCCTTGTTTTACTTTACATGGTGGGGGACAGGGGGCTTCTTATTTTATGTG